GACCCCCTCGGTGGTGTTTGCCATCGGGGTTGGGTTTTCGTCGCTGGCAACGACGTTGAAAAACAAGTCGATCACTTCGCGAGCTCGGCAACCAGGTTGCCGCTTTTTTTTTTGCCTCCGTTTTTTTTTTTTGCGGTAACCGTGAGTGGTGATCGAGTAGATTATGTTGTGCGGGGTCGAGAACCCTCACTCCGCGCAAAGTGGATGGTCGCACCACGTTGTTTTAAATTGGTCAAGCACCCTCGAGGCAGTTGCTCAGTGCTTATGATTGTCTCTGGAAGTGAAAGCACCAGAAAATACATCAAGTCATTCGAATCTGTCATCCGTACGCAAGGAAGTAAGCACAAGATGCCGAACAACCTTAGCAGGATCATGCGACTCGCCGAATACCTCACGGCGCTTCGCGCTTGGTGATGTGAGAGCCTGGTTCGGTGAGAACCCGGCGTGCTCCGTCCCGGCTTTGTAGGGATGCAAGGTCAATCGTCTAACGAGTACGGCATGCACGACGATGAGTACACCCCGCCGCCCCCCCCGCCCCCCCCCCGGCGAAGACGATAGCTACACCGGGGTAAGTAGGCGAGAATAGTGACATAGGCAAGATGGGGAAAGCATTTTTGAGCCACCTTTGGCAAAATTGAGAGGAACAATTGGCCGCAGGTGATCGGTCCTGTGGGACGCGCGGCTAATGGTCTCATAACTAAGATTTGAAAAACAACAGTATGCCCCACCCCCGCCTCCTCCCCTTAGCAGGATGAAGCGCACCCTCCATGCGACTGGCCGAATACCTCAAGGCGATTCACGCTTGGTCATGTGTTAGTCAGGTACGGTGAAAACCCGGCGTACTCCGTCTCGGCTTTGTAGGGATGCGAGGTCAACGGTCTAACGACTACGGCATGCACGGCTATGAGCATCCCCTCCCGCCCGTTCCCCCTCCCCCTCGCCACCTCTTTCCCGTTTTCTCAACCAACGAAAGAACAAGCTTACATCGATAACTTCGTCTCTGCGGCAGTAGAGCCGGGCCAGCTGTCTGGCGATGTCCGGGTCGTTCGAAGTTGCCTGTCTCTCTTCCAGGTGAGACACGGTGCGGTTTAAGCCGCTCAGCTGCCGGTGGGGCCACCGCTTTACGCCGTGTCGCCTGCAGAGCCTTTTCAAGGACGTCACCGAGATGCACATCGCCTGGTAACAGGTTGGAGTCGGAACGTGAAGGGAGGGATCAACAGGCGGTCCGGTGAGGGAGGGGGGGGGGGGGGGGGGGGNGGGGGGCGTACTCGTATATTTTGCATGCTTGAGCGGTTAGACCATTGCTAAGGAGTCCTCGAGAGGACGGAGCATTGTTCCCACAGCACCGATCACCGATGGCCAATCGCTCCTTCGCACATAACCAGAGGTTGCTCGAAAACGTTTCCCCTACTCCATGCATCCTGTTGATATCACTTTTCGCCTTTCAGTCCACTTGCTTATGACCCAGAATAGCTGGCACCTTCTAGGGGTTCCAATATTTGCTTGCGGAGCCTACACGCAAATCGTAGTGGTCATAATTCACTGCTGGAGGCACCGCGGTCATGCAAAAGCCCGAAGAGGTGGCAGCGTTTAACATTTCCGCTGCACCCACGGTGGCAAGTACTCTGCGATCTTCTTGGTGCCCCTCGCCCCCCCCCACACCCCACACCCCCAAACATCAACCCACTCTCGGAAAAACAAAAATCGCAAGACTAAAGGTTTCCCCTTTTATTGCTGGTTTCTTCGGTCGTGTTGGAGCTTGAAGATTTTCGCTAACGCGGAGACTGCTACGAGCATGGTCTCACAACGAGGTACGTACATCGGCGGCCGTTCGGAGAGAGAAGTTGAAGTACGGCAGCAGGACCTCCACCGGCACTCGGCGCGCAATGTCCTGCAAGGTTTCCCGCCGAGTGCCCTAGACGAATGGATTGGACGAAACAAACGCGAAAATTGAGCAAGCAAATAAATGCGAAATCCAGGTTGTGCAGGGTTGCGTGACGGTGGACTGGGCACGCGCGCGCGGGGGGGTCACGTTTGTGTGGCACTATTATACCAGTCATTTCATCGCATATATATGGCGTACCCACAGGTAGGGGGGTTGCCTACTTGTAGTTCAACCAAAGTTGTACGAAGCATCAGACAGCTTGACATCTGCAACAAACTTCGAACAACTTCTATGCAACACTCCTATCTATGCAGACTAGTAGGAAAAATTGATACAGACACAGAAAGACTATGTATGGATACACGCGTGTAAGTAATCATGTCAACTTCCCGAAAAAAAAAAAGCTTCGATACAAACTCGAAGTGGGACCGCCTACGCGGGATTTTAAGAGTATCTAGAAGAAGAATAGGGAGGGGGCACGCAGACCCTATCCCTAACCCTAACCCTAACCCCAAAGCACGGATTGATTTCTTTATCCCATATGTTTGCTTAATCGATTTTGCTGCGTAGACTATCATCGAAGTGCGATACCATCGAACTGCAGGATAGACCAATTCGAATGCTTGGATCACAAACCTTGAGAGGGGGTTGGCGGGCGAGCTTGCGAGGGGTCTTGGGCAGGTTGAGCGGGGTGCGCGAGGCATTGCTCTGCTGCAACACGCCGTTTCTCTTCGGGCGCGAGGGTTTGGCGCGCATCGGATTGTAGTGATGCCCGTCTTTCCGTTGCTCGAGACGAAAACCTTATTCCAGAGATACTTTCACCCTGTCTCACCTAGCTTCCTCCTCCTCTGGCGACGGCGGGAAGGTAGGGGCAACGGGGTGTGCGCCGGGGGATATAAAATCATCGAGACAAAATCACATGAGTGAACGCGAGATGGGGGATGCGTCACCAAGAACTTCCCTGGTTGTAATTCAGGTCACGGGCACTTTGGCTCGCCCCTCCTCAACATTGCGCTGTACCAGATAGACATGTGGTACGTACGTGTTCTACAGCAGTGTAATCTCACGCGACAGAAACTACAAGAAAACTCTCGCGCACCACGTCGTTGGTTGTTGGTTCTCGATTTTTTGCACACATGAACAATTGTAGCACGGGTGCAAGGGTGAAGAAGACCCTTGCTGTGATGCATATAGTCCAGCGTATCAAATTCGTGGGGGGTTGGGTCGGGCAACGCCAGACACAGTCTACACTTCAAAGAAATATCGTGCATCTACCCCTGTGTACCGACCGTATGCATTCATAGCAACTTTAGAAAAAAAATGGCGGCAACCTTCGACTCCCTACTCGGTCTGGAGACAAGAGACTCTTCCCCGGAGCAATTCCTCGTTTCCGCTTCTTCAGGCCCCTTCAACGTATTCGAATTTCGCCGGACGCCCGCACAGCGGTACAAAGGACGACGTAGGGGAAAACGGTATGAACTCACAGGTAGCTCTACTAGCTGTCTTGCCACCGAGGGCGGGAAGGTATTTCCAAACAACGTTGGGAGCGCGGGGCGGGGAGGGCGGGGCGGCGCTCAGGTAAAACGGTCTCCTTTCCGCTCGGCGGTTGCTCCTATTTTCACCTTTGCCTCTGGTACCACCGTAGAACAACAAAAGATTGGTTGTTTCCACACACACATGACAGGCGCCGGGGAAAGCTTATAGCCATCATCGTGCAAGAATGATTGGGTCCTCGCGAAAAGCAGATCCATCCTCGGCCCGGCGGGGTGCCTGTGGTGTGTAAAGCACCCCGCCCAAAAAGAGGTCTCATTCCCTCCGCCACGTACTCCGACCACGACAGAGCGACGTGTGCGCGTTGCTTACTCTTGTTTCAAATGAAAGGGAGACACACAAGCGGCCGGACCCCCTCGACGGCACATGGCGCACACCGCTTTCTCACCGATAATCTTACCTCTTCCACGCCTTGCACGCCGTGGGTGTCTCTTGCACCTTCTCTTGCCGCGCTACGAGCTCGTCGTTTGCTGGGTCTCGCAGCCGTGTATGCCTTTGGCGGGCGTGTGTTTTTTTCTCGGAAAGGGTGCGGCATGTCTATGATGAACTGTCGAACGTCGCAAGGAAAGAGTTTTGAGAGTGGTGTCGCTTCCTGTCTGTTGTTGTGCCGCTTCAAGTAACGACCACATTCCTAGGATTGTAGAATACCCCGTGCGAGCGAGCTTGAGGAGCGAGCTGCTACCGGCAGCACGAAAGAGATCGTGTTCTTCGCAATGTGCGTGCATTTCCTGTCCCTCTCTGTCTCTTCCGAACTCGAGACGAAAGACGTGATTTGGTACATTTTTATTTCCTCACACATGTACGGCGGCGCCTGGGAAATGCCAGTTATTTCTTCTTGGTTTTTTATCCTCCGATTCTAATCTGCTTCTGCTGCCTGCCATCATACCCAACTGGATACTCCTGTTAGACTATGTGTGCAATGCTGCTGTACGTATGCATACTACGTTCTCTGCTCGTTCGTGTACTTCGCACTCCAACAGCACAGCAGCATAGTACATCAGAGTGCTCCCGTTGGATCTTCTAGTTGCCCATTATTTCGTTTATTTCGTGCTGCGTAGCGTAGCGGTTGGTCGTGTGTGTAGGGTGTACGGGTGTACAGCAGTGTACAGCAGTGCACAGCAAGCGTAGGTCGACGTCGTGCAATTTACGAATGTGGATCTTACGATCTTGCTCAATCAAACCGTTTCAGACTATAAGCCTTCCACGGAGGAGCAACGTGATCATAATACGTATGCGCACAGTTTCCAGACTAAAGCGCCACACACACAGCCCACGGCCATTGGAAGCGAAGACGCTAGCCCCGCCCGCCGACCTTGTTGACCATTTTTTGTTGGCGCAATGGTGAGAGAGGAGAGGGTCGAAATGAACGAAAGACTCAGAGACGGTTGCTGGATGGTTGCAGCAGTTGCGCAGTTTTGCAAGCCTCTCCTCTGATATGCGCATCTACCAAGAAAACCGCAAAAAAAATCGGGATCAACCGGCATCGCGATGATCATGTCAGACATCCCAGATGCAGAAACAGGATCGGGTGTTTGTGTCGCACAACGACATGGTAGAAAACTTACCACGTGCACAAAGCACATCGAAGCCGCTGCTCTCTTCCCTGCAACATCAGCGGTGGAAAAAAACTACCAACAAAAGCACACACACGCGCTTCCCACAATCGGACGAAAAGAAGCGACAGAGCCTACAGAATGGAGTGGAACGTCTTTACTACCGAGGGTCTTTCCTGCGACAAAGGTATATCATCGCCAAGTTCCTTGGGAGTTGACGTAAAACATGAAAGCGTAGCAGTCAGCGACATGAACAAGCAACCAAGGAAGAGGGCGAGGGACGGCCGCAAAACACCGGCCTTGATATCGTCGACTGCTGCTGGTGTTCTACCATGGCGGCAGAAGAAAAGGAGTGAGGATGAGCTTGCAATAGATCGATCGCTCCAGCACTTGAGAACTAAATGAAACTACAGACCAAGCAAAGGCCAAACAGAGACGAGCGCAAGACTCACAAACTATGTGACGGCAAGTATTACGCGGCAGACTTCATTGTTCTGGCTCTCGCGTAAAACGCGGACAACAACACGCACGCAAGCCACCCGACAGCAGTGACTCCCTATATGTACAGCGTGTAAGATCCGCCTCCACTCTCACTTACCGCAGTGACATGAACACACTAACAGCACACCCGACGGTCGACCGAACATGTTACTAAATAGGTCGCGACCCCATAGTCACTCTCCAGCTAGCGAGGCCTCAATCGCAAGTCTAAGCTGGGCGTCGTCTTCTTCCAAGTCGTCAACGACGAACCCCTTCGCTGCCGCCCCGGCTTCCGCCGGCAACGTTTCCCACACGCCTCCCGCCGCTATCCCCGACATTAGAAGGGCTTTCTTCAGCTCCTCGTCCTCCTGCCCCACGTCCGCGACCCCTGCAGCTGCCACTCGGCCCTGCTGCTGCTGCTGCTGCTGCTGCTGCTGCTGCTGCTGCTGCTGTTTTGGCTGCTGTTGCTCCGCGACCTTCGCCGTCGTAAAGTCACCGGCAGCAGCAGGGTGGCTTGCGGCAGCGGCGGAGGCGGCGGCGGCAGCGGGGCTCCCCACGTCCCCTCTCGCGTTACCGCCGTCCACGGCAACGCCAGAAGCAGATGCGCCGCCGCCGCCCCCAGCTGCTCCAGCAGCGCCAGTGCCCATGGACTCGGCCAAAGCCTGGCGGACCAGGTCTTCCTCGGTCGCAGCCGCCGCGGCGCTGTTGCGCGACGCTTCGAGGGCGTTCCGCAGCTGCTCCTCCTCGCTCTGGGCCTGCGCCGTGCGCAGCATCTCCTCCTGGGGACGACGGCGGGTGACGAAGTAGGTCAAGTCGAAGAGCGATACATCGGCATGTATGTTGAGTGCCTCGAAATAGCCACACATGGGTCATCAACAAACGATCGAGAAAATGGCCGCGATTCATGCAGAATCGAAAAATGACGAAGAAACGACGGCAAGAAACGACGGCAAGAAACGACGGCATGCAGGCACAGCATGGCGGAGGAGTAGCAAATACGGATCGTTCCGTGGGACGAAATCTTGAAGGCAAGTACCGCGGAAAGACGGAGGACTGGGGGAGAACAATCCTTAAACAACGCCGAATCGGAGAGACCTACGTGCCACCAATAGAGGACAGTAGGAAACAGGTGCATAACGCGAGCGACGGGTAGGATACATTTACACGGAAAGTGTTCCGACAAGCCCCGAGACTACACGACACCCCCTCACACACCTGCAGCACGACGAGCTCGCTGTCTCGCGATGCGGCCTCGAGCGAACTAAGGTTGGATTGCTCCATGTGATCGACGCTGGCGACAAGAGCGCTGTCCAAGTCGTCAAACTGCCAAGAGAGAGTTCGTAGTTGGTGAGAGTGTGTTACTGCAAAGGGCACTAGGAGCGGGAGAGACGGCGAGGGGTCCCTGGGGTGGTGGCCAACGCTGCACAAGCATAGAAAGACACAAGAATTGCGCACGTGGCGCAAGACAAGGTGGCATCACATGGGGGAAAACCGTCCTTGAGAAGAAAAGCGAACGAAACCGAAGCCCGGATGTGACCGGATGGTGGAAGACCCAAGGCGGCGAACAATCGCGCATTACGCGTGTTTTGAGGGCGATAAAAACGCGTAGGGGGCGGTTGACGGGATAATGGTAGCGGTGGTGTGCAAGCTGTCCGGTTTGTGCGCCAAGAGGTCCACCATCAGCACCCTGACTACCTTCGCGAGGCTGACGCGGTTCTCCGCTCATCTACAGCACGGCCGGTCGAAAAGCACAAGGGCTTGAACGGTGCTGAGTTGATTTGGCCACAAGCGTTCCCCACGCAAGAGCTGCCCAAGACGAGCGAAAACTACGTAATGTCATCAATTGGTTGAGACACGTGGTTCTTTGTCCCTGCACCTGTGCTTCAAACACGTTTCTGCTCCATGCCAAAGCGCGGTCCATGGCAGCTCGGCCCGCCGGGGAGTTCTCGTCGTCCTTCCGCATCTTCATCTCCTCCAGATCCCACCTTCATGTGGAAGACAAAGCGCCGGCGTGTGTCAGGAAAACGCGCATGCGTGTGCGTATGGGGGCGGGGTGCGCGTGTGTGTCTCTAGTTATTAGCATCGACCGCGCACAACCAGTTGACCAATGAAAATGCGTCAGTATTAGAAGTGAGGTAAAAAACTCAAGCTCGATTTCTTAGTGTGTGCGTTTGCGACAACGGAAGATGATTCAAGATGCAACTCCAAAACGTTGAGATTTCCACCCTCATTTGGGTCCTGCAAAAAGAGCAACCTCTTGTGGACAAACACCCCCCGTACAGCGTCATTCCAAGCATCCGCCCATTTTTTTCCAATAAAGGACTACCCGAATGCTTGGGTAGGTTATTCGGGTATTCTTCTCTTCCGTACCACCTCTAGACGCACAAAGTATCCGTATATCGCTACAAGCCTCTCTCTCATGCTTGAGATCACCGATGACCACTATCAGACACAAAGCAATTTCACGGCAACCCAACGACACGCGGCGACTAACCGACAGTCACCTGGACCGCCTTTCCACCCACAAGCTGCTGCTGCGGTCTCCGCAGAGAACACAACAGACAACGGTTTTCTCCTGGACAAACACCGGACCCACTCCACATGTCAGACCCGCACTACACCCCGCACCTGCCGCTGCCGACCTCGGCCGCTCGTATCTTCGATCGCTCAAGCGCCGCCTCCTCCAGCTGCCCCGGCGCTGGGGCGGGCGAAACGGTACCAGCGGCGCCTGCAGCCGTCTCCGTCTCCCCCGCCCCCCCGCTTCCGGTCGAGGCGCTAGCGCCCGCTGGCCCCGCCGCGTCGCCGATGAGCGGGGATTGGCTGTCCAGGGGGGCCACGGAGTCGTAGTGCCCGCCGCCGTAGTAGCTCAGGCGCATCGGGGGTCGGGGCGATCCGTGCCGTCCGCCCGCGCTCCCGGCGGCTTCGTGGAACGTGCGTAGCGTCTTAGCACCGAGCTTTTGTTCATCAGTATGTACCCGAACGCGACAGGGGGGGGGGGG